TCATGACACATCGTCTTATTATAACAAACATTTGTACCAAGTTATTTTAGATTCCTTTGATAAATGAAAAAGTTATGGACCGGACACAAAATATACCCTGTAATAGACTATGTTAACATTTTACCTCCAAGTGAGACCTTGACCTTGGGAGGTAGGTGACCGGTTGTTGCGCATGACACATTGTCTCATTATTGTGAACAATTGTGGCAAGTATTTACAAAATCCCTTCAAAGATAAGAAAGTTATGGACCGGACACGACATATACCATCAAATCTTGAATGAGCAAGTGCGACCTTGACCTTGGAGGTAGGGGTCTGGTTGTTGCGCATGACACATCGTCTTATTATAACAAACGTTTGTGCCAACTTATTTCAGATTCCTTTGATAAATGACAAAAGTTATGAACCTGACACGAAAGTGTGACGGACGGACGGACGGACAGACGGAGCCTATTACTATATCCCCCTTTTTTCTTCGAAAAGGCGGGGGACAATAAAATACTGAACGCAGTAAGGAAAACAAAACTATGAAAGAAAAATCAATTATGTATAATTATGTATTAAGTTATAGTAAAAAAGTAACATATGTTAACACAAATTTCAAGTTCAAGGGGAATAATTCTGGAAATAGTCACACTAGAGTTATGAACCTTGCCACACAATATATGTGTAATGATAAGAAATATATATTTGAAGTTTGAAATAGATACCTTAAAAAGTAAAGAAGTTATAATATTTGTTAAAGAAAATCTTAAGTTCAAAGAGAGATAAATCTGAAATATTGCTTCAAGAGTTATGAATCTTGTCACCTAAGATGTAATTGATGATAAGGAATATTTTTAGTATTTGAAGTTTGAGGTAGATACTGTACAGATAACGAGGAATATGCAAATTCCTGCGAGTAACGAGTAATTACAAAAAGCGTGACTCCGAGTGGATTATAAATTTCTCGTACACAAAAGAGTGACTCCGCGTCGATAACGAGTGACAATTAAGTCAGCGGGACTCCGTGAATCTCCGAGTCAAAAAGAGTGACTCCGAGTAAATAAGACTGATTTGGTATGCTTTATTTATTTATTAATATAATGCTCTACCTCTAAACTAAAATCCTTGAACGCATGTATTATTCATTCAAAATAAAAATGTTGTAGAAAATTCTTCGTTGATGTAAAGTATCACAAGTGAAAACGAAGGTAGACAGACTTGATTCATTAATATCAAAAGGAAAGAATAACCAAGATTTCCCGCAATTCCCGTGTCACTTAGTGTCAAAAACCTATTTAATTTAGTATTCTAAAACAGTAAAATATAGATGAGCTTCATTTTTGCCTTGTTTATAAAAATTTATAATCATTGTGTAAGCAAAAAAACAAGCAAATTCGTTGAATTTATATCCCCCGCCGAGTACTGGTTATTATTAACACAACAACTGAAGACATAAGGCTTTATTTATATATTAATCATGGCATAAACAGTAATATTCTTTGAACTTGATAAATATTCAGGGCAATAACAGGGCCATAACTTTGTGTTAAATAGTAAAATCTGGAAATGCCAATGAGATGTATGCATACTACATAACTAATCAAGGGCCATAAATCTGAGTTATAAGTATCTGACTGGAACAAGGCGACTATATGCATATCTCCTCTTAGTATCCCATAAAGTTTCATTGAATTCCAGCCAGTAGTAGCAGAGAAGTAGCGAGGAAACAAATATTTTTCTATATGGATACTGCATAACTAATCCAAGGGCCATAACTCTGAATTAAAGTGTCTGACCGGAACAAGCCGACAATATGCGCATCTCCTCTTGGTATTGAAGGTTCCCATAAAGTTTCGTTGAATTCCAGCCAGTAGTTGCAGAGAAGTAGTGCGGAAACGATTTTTACTCTATATGCATACTACATAACTAATCAAGGGCCATAACTCTGAGTTAAAGTGTCTGACCGGAACAAGCCGACGATATGCGCATCTCCTCTTGATATTGATGATTCCCATAAAGTTTTGTTGAATTCCAGCCAGTAGTTGCAGAGAACTACTCCGGAAACAAAATTTTACTCTATATGCATTCTACATAACTTATCAAGGGCCATAACTCTGAGTTAAAGTGTCTGACCGGAACAAGCTGACGATATGCGCATCTCCTCTTGATATTGATTATTCCCATAAAGTTTTGTTGAATTCCAGCCAGTAGTTGCAGAGAACTACTCCGGAAACAAAATTTTACTCTATATGCATTCTACATAACTTATCAAGGGCCATAACTCTGAGTTAAAGGGTCTGACCGGAACAAGCTGAAGATATGCGCATCTCCTCTTGATATTGATGATTCCCATAAAGTTTCGTTGAATTCCAGCTAGTAGTTGCAGAGAACTACTCCGGAAACGAAATTCGGACGGACGGACGGACGTACTTACCAAATGGTACTTATTTGACTATTCCTTTGATCTTTTTTTGAGCCATTTTTAGTCACACAAGGCTTAAAAAAAGACACACAAGTAAAAACGGAATGAATAGGATCAAAGAGAATTTACTGTTATCTATTGTTCTCCAAGTCACACAAGTACCTCTGGGTTTGTAAGGATGGACTGACGGACAGACGAACAAGGGTAAATCTATGTGGGGGCACAAAAATATAGGATTGCCATCAAAATATAGGATTTTTCATGGCCTAAATATAGGGAGATATAGGAATAGAAACAAGCCAAAGTAAGTCTATAATTATAACCTTGCAATAAAAAAAACCCTTAACTCCCAAAACAGAGACCAATTTTCATTTGGATTTGTTAGTCGTATTTCTTTTTAGAAGAAAAAAAACTTATTTGAGGATTGTTACAGACAATAAATAAGTGTTGAAAGATGTGTAAACATTCAAAAAGCAGCTAAGAAATTGGAAAACATGGAATTGTTGAAGACTGCCATACAAACACTTGGTTGTTTACTTATTCTTCGGGCTAACGGCTGTCATTACGTTTTCAAGTTTTCATATTGCATTAGGCAGTTATTGCTCATAGGATACTTAAATATGCCCAAATGTCATCAAGAGCAGTTTGCAAGTGGAAGGAATTTTATTTTTCAGACTGTAAAAAATTATGAAACAAAAAATTTAGAGACGATATTTGGTGATTGGTAATTTGAAATTTGGTGATTGGTAATTTGAATGAATGGGGAAAATCTTGAAAAAGTAGTTTCGTTATTGAAAAGTGTGAAATTATATTTTATTAATTTTCAGTGAGAAATTATCAAATATAATTTTCACAGATAAATCAGTAATCCACTGAAAAGCATAAAATAAATACATATAAGGAAAATCAATGACACCCTAGACCAAGGCCAATTTTGACCCCAGGTCTATTAAAATTTGAACAATTTTTGTAGAGTTATGCAAAATATCTAAGCTCTAGGCCATGCACTTTCAGAGATTTTTAAAGATTTCATTTTAAAAATCTTTTTTTAGCCCTCCTTTGAGCAGAACCATTTGATCAATTTTAGTAGAGCTTCATGCTAAGAACACATACATGTGACCTTTTTTCAGTGATCAAGTGGGAGATTTTTCTTCAAAATGAGGGAGATTTTAGAATTTGCAATAAACAAAGAAGGAAGTTCTGACATCAAAAATAGGGAGATTTCCTTCATTTGCGAAAATACTCATTTTAAGAAAAATCTTTGAACATATGGCTGCAGAAAGTGGGAGACTCCCGCTAAAAATGGGAGAATTCACACGTATGGGAACATCCAAGGAATATTTCATCAAATTTGGCTGATTGGTTTCTGAGAAGAATATAAAAAGTTAAAAAAGTTGACGATGGACACCTGTTGGAACATGGATGCCGGAAAAATTTTGATCATAAATGCTCAAACTTTTTTTATGAAAATTCTAAGTTTACTGGTCAGGGACTATCAACCGGACACTTTTGAATATTTTTCCATACATATTTCATAATTTTAAAGCTTTAGACTTTAAAATTTGACACAGTACAGCTAGGTTCTTCTCCTAACTGGTGAACAAATTTGTTTATTTCTGATTATGTTGACACTCATATCTGAGGCCCATAGGGGTATCAAAGTTACCTGAACTGTCCACACTACAGTACCATGTGTCCGGACAGATATGCACATGACCTTGATTTAATCCAGTTAAAAGCTTTGGTGTTTTTAATAAACAAGATCCTGAAGTTTTGAATATTCTATGGTTTACTCTTCAAATGATAATAGCTAGTATGAGAGGTTAGGTTGCTCTCTTGATGTCCAAATTTTCAACGTCAACGTTCTTGAAATAGACAGTAATATATTACCGTTTACGAAAGAAAAACAATAAATTGAATTACTTTATTATAGAAGAAACATGCATTTATTGTTGATAAAAAGCGACTGATTGATCAAAAACCACTGCACAAAGAAAGCTTTTTTAGGGCCATCCAGGTTTGATGGTTGTCAGGTTTGGGTGGTCCCCAACTAGTAAGTGGGGGATAAATCTAATAATTTTGGTGCTAGAGTTGAGAACCTTGATGTGCATAATCTACATACTGTCATCTATCCATATTTCAAGTTTCATAAAAATATTTTCAGTACTTATTGAGTTATCACAAATATTGTTATATTTGCCAGATTTAAGTCTAATTGTTGCCATCATAAGCAACTAAATTTGTCTACATAGGAAGAAAAGAAAAGTGCATTATCTCCAGACTGCCATTTACCCATATTTCAAATATCATAAAAATATTTTCAGTGCTTTTTGCGCTATCACAGGTTATATTTGCCATATTTTAAATCTATCTGTTGCCATACCAACAGATTTTTTCAACATAGGAAGAAAAGAAAAAGAGATGTGCATAATCTCTAGACTGCCATCTACCCATATTTCAAGTTTCATAAAAATATTTTCAGTTCTTTTTGCATTACCATGAGATCCAGTTTTAAAGACGGATGAACAGACAGACGGACGGAGGGTAAACCTGAAGTTCCCTCAGGTTAAACTGGTAGGGGACTAATAAATACCTATTATACCCTTAACATCGCTACACATGAGTTTTCGTGCCATTTTACTTCCAGGAGGTTGCTGATTTTCTATATCATTTGCACATCTTTTCCGCTTTCCTTTAGGAGTGTATAAATCAGATTTTTCTGCCAATTTCGCTTTCACCTCATGAGCTTCTTTTAAATCCCTCATTGTCAATGGACTTATTTCTTCAAAAGTCCTAGGTAGATCAGACTTCCACTTCATCCGATCACTTACAAAACCTTTCTTTTTTAAACACTCAAGCTTAGTTGTCAGTGTTTTGAGAAACATTACCAGTTTATCTGGAGCACAGTTTGAAACCATTACTTGAGTGTTTTCTGTTGGAAGTTTTATTGTGGCTTTGCCATCCTTAACAAATTTCTTGTGCACCAACACATCTTTAACTGTATATTTCATCTCACGCTTATTAGGAAAATTTATGCATAGTATTACATCCCTAAATTCATTTCTTCCTAGAGTGAAAGTCACACTTTTATGTTGCATCTTTCTGAGTGTTTCCCCTCCAGCTGAAAGCTCCTCTACTGTAGCAGTACATGTGATTGCATTAAGATCCATAGCTAGAAAATAAATGTAAAAATTAATCATAAATATTACATGTACTTTAAAAATGAATTTAAAATTTGATTTAATAGTACATTTAATAATGTAAACAAGATTGCATTTGTCACCGCATTAATACAACACTAAATGAGTAGGAACAAAAGAAGATTATTTGTGTTTCTATTAGGGGTGTAACAATACGGCAAAAAACGTATTGCAATATATTGCCATTTTGTCAAAGCGTATTGCAATATATTGCAATACGTATTGTCAGGTATATGTTTATTATTATTATTATTATTATATGTATATATTCTTAGTAGAAACTTAATAAAAATGTAAGGAATAAATAGAAAGTAAAGTGTCACACAATTTGATAAACAAAACTAGTCGCGCGTGTCCTTTAACACCTGGGCCGCTTATGTAAATTATGCAGCCGCTTACTTACTTTTAAGTGTACTAGTTGTCGGATATTTTTTATCTTACGTTGACGCCAATAAAATTCACCAATAAAAGATTTTATGCGAAATTTGTATGAAATTAGAAGGCGATTAATTGAAAATAATGATTTTAATAAAATACCGGTTTTTCCAAAAATCGTACTGCGGTACGAAATTTATTTTTTCATATTGCAATATATCGGTATATCGGTAAACCGTTACACCTTAGTTTCTATACAGTTGAACTTTGCCATAATGCAGTAGTGTCTAGTGACTTTGGGGGTCAAATGAGAGGCAACATGCAGATGTGTCTAATTTTCAGATACATAGGACATAGTATTATAACATCAAAGGACAAGAAAGTATGTCACATCATAACAAGAGCTGTCACAGGAGACAGCGAAGCTCGACTAATAAAATACTGGACGCAGTAAGGAGGACAAAACTATGAAAGAAAAATCAATTATGTATTAAGTTATAGTTAAAAAATAACATTTGTTAACATAAATTCCAAGATCAAGGGGAATAATTCAAGAAATAGTCACGCCAGAGTTATGTTGTTGTCACACAACATGTGTATAATGATAAGAAATATATATTTGAAGTTTGAAGTAGATATCTTAAAAAGTAAAGAAGTTATAATATTTCTTAAAGAAAATCTTAAGTTCAAAGAGAGAAAAATCTGTAAATATTGCTTCAAGAGTTATGAACATTGTCACATAAAATGTAATTGATGATAAGAAATAAGTATTTGAAGTTTGAGTTTGATACCTGTTATAAAGTTATAGTAAAAAATAACATTTTTCTAGTATAAAAATCTAAGTTTATGGGGAGATAATTCTTGCAATATTGGTGCTAGAGTTATGAACCTTGTCACATAAGATGGGGATGATGAATAGGTACATATATATTTGAAGTATGAGGTTGATCCCTTAAGAAGTAAGGAAGTTACAGTAAAAAAATAGTATTTTTTAAGGAAAATTCTAAGTTCAAGGCGAGATAAATCTGAAAATATTGGTGCTAGAGTTATGAACCTTGTCATGGTGCTAGAGTTATGAACATTGTCACATAAGATGTGGTTGATGATAAGGAACATATATTTGAAGTTTGAAGTTGATACCTTAAGAAATGACAAAGTTATAGTGAAAAATATTTTACTGCACCAAAACTTTAATCTGAAATCTGCAGGGCCTTTTCACTAGTTTTGGGGAAGGCGCCCTAGCCCTTTTTGTGGGGAAAAAATGCGCGATTTCCACATTTTTGGGGAAAATATCATATTTTCACACATTTCGGGGGAATATCATAATTTATTTGCATATCTTCCTCCAATCACATTTAAGGTTTACTATAGTAATAAGCTTTCTGTCCAACAGGAGTAAAAAACATTTTTTACAGATCAATTTATTGACCCTTTATATTAACTCATATTTCCTATTTATAGTATTTTATGTTGGTCATGTGAGAGTTCTTGGTTTGATTCAGAGGGTACATTATTATTATCAGTTTACACTGTATTACTGGCACTGATGTGCTAGGCTCGCTATTTCCGACAGTTGGGCATGTTGTGCTACTCGGACACAAGGTCATCAATTCATTCAATTTTTAATAAACAATTACAAACGTCACTCAATCGTATTTTCTTCTTGTTCTGTGACATTGTTTACATTAGTGACATCGTATCGGTCGCCATATTGTCGTAAAAAATCACATGTGCACTAAAAAATAAGGCAGCAGGGATTTCCCATGCTGTTTTTAGAAAGTTGCAAACTCAGACTGAGGCTCTGAGTTAACATCAATTGTATTAAATCAAGGTATCCCTCTATTGGGTTATTGAATTATTAGCCTTCATTGGACAAAACAATTATCTATTTTAAAACAAGAAAGTTTCTTTACAAGTTTTATTCTTCAGTTAAAGGGGAAATATTTGCCAGAAGGGGAAATTTAGACTGTTTTTTGGGGAAAAAAGGTAGTAATTTGGCTTGGGGAAGTAGCCTGATACAGGCTACAGCAAAGAAGGGGAAAAAGACCCTGATCTGGATGCGGACGCTGACGCCGACGCCGGCGAGTAGGACTGTGAGCTCTCCATATACTTCGTATAGTCGAGCTTAAAATCTAGGTCAGCTGATTTAAAAGTTCAATTTTACTGTGCATATGGTCAAAATTTCAAAGCTGTACATCAAAGGACAAGAAAGGAAAGTACATATTCCATCAAAGGACAAGAAAGGAAAGTAGGTCACTTGTCAAAATCTAGGTCAGCTGATTTTAAAGTTCAATTTTACTTCTCAGACTGTGCACATAGTATAAATTTCATGTCTGTGCATCAAAGGACAAGAAAGTAGGTCACTGTAATATCCCCTTGGGCAGAAAAACATTTTGACCCCAAGGTTTTAATTTTAAAATCTTGATACAGGTCCACCAGACAATGTTTCATGATGATTATCTAAGCTCTAGCTTTTTCCTACTCAAAAACATTTGTTTTTAAATTAGTTTCTGTTGGTAGTGTATGATGTCATAACGAAAATCAACTAGAACTATCACTAAATGTGATTAATACCCCCGCAAGACTGCTTCGGAAATGAGGAAGTTACTAGTAACAGAATACCTTGCAAAAGAATTGAAATAGAGTTATGGTTAAAGATAGCTGTGGTTCTTGTATGTTGCATTTCTTTTTAATGTGGTTGACAAATGATGAAGTTTTATTGAATTACTCTGTAATAAGGCCAGAAAGAGTTACGCTTCTTGAGCACTGCAATCCTCTCATTGCTCTTGACCATTGTATGAAGTTGTATTGAATTCTACACATTAGTTTTGCACCGGACAAGGAAAAGGAATAAAGGGCAATAACTCTACAAATACTGAAGATGGAGTTATGGTTATTGTTCCACTCATAGCCATTGGCCATTGTATTAAGTTGTATTTAATTCCAACTACTAGTTTTCAAGTTATGCACTGGATAAAAAAGTAACAAAGGGCAATAATTGTAATTTGTCCAAATAGAGTTATGGTTCTTGTGCACTGCACTTCATTTCACTGCCCTTGTCTATTGTATGAAGTTTCATTGAATTCCAACCATTAATTTTCAAGTTAATGCACTGGACAATGAAAAGTAACAAAGGGCAGAAACTCTTAAAT